TTATAAGTAATAAACAAGATTTTAAAATCTATATGATGTTTAATAGGTAGCCAGTGCAGTGTTGACAGAACTGGGCTAATATGGTCATACTTCCTGGTTCTAGTAAGAACTCTAGTTGCTGCATTTTGGACCAGCTGGAGTTTGTTTATTAAGCGTGGAGAAGAACCACCCAATAAAGCATTACAATAATCTAACCTTCATGTCATAAATGCATGGATTAACATTTCTGCATTTGACATTGAGAGCATAGGTCGGAATTTAGATATATTTTTGAGATGGAAAAATGCTGTTTTACAAATGCTAGAAACGTGGCTTTCTAAGAAAAGATTGCTATCATATAGTGCACCTAGGTTCCTAACTGATGAGGAGGAATTGACAGAGCAATAATCAAGTCTTAGACAGTGTTCTAGGTTATTACATGCAGAGTTTTTAGGTCCTATAATTAACACCTCTGTTTTTTTCCGAATTTAGCAGTAAGAAGTTACTTGTCATCCAGTTTTTAATATCGACTATGCGTTCCGCTAGTTTTTCAAATTGGTATGTTTGAAGAAATATAGAGCTGAGTATCATCAGCATAGTGAAAGCTAACACCGTGTTTCCTGATGATATCTCCCAAGGCTAACATGTAAAGCGTGAAGAGTAACGGCCCTAGAACTGAGCCTTGAGGTACTCCATACTGCACTTGTGATCGATATGAAACCTCTTCATTCACTGCTACGAATTGATGGCGGTCATACAAGTACAATTTGAACCATGCTAATGCACTTCCATGAATGCCAACAAAGTTTTCTAGTCTATTCAAAAGAATGTTGTGGTCAATAGTGTCGAACGCAGCTCTAAGATCCAATAGCACTAATAGAGAGATAAGATGATAAGATGATAAGAGCAGGTAATTTGTAACTCTAATTAGAGCAGTCTAAGTACTATGATACGGTCTAAATCCTGACTGGAAATATATAAATCTATATAATGAGCTCTACTGTAGAGATTTAACGTGTAAAAAATATTTTTGCAACGTAAAATACACTGCCATACAAGTGAAGGAAGTGCAAAGAACACAAAAATATTATTTTACTATAATAACATATAAATTAGATCGTAACATTTGTCTATCCTCAACCTAAGTTCCAATCTTCACCACGTTGTTAACCAGCAAAAGTCAAAACATCTTGTAAACAACAAAAAGTTTACATTTTAACGTGGCACAGAGTCTTAAAAACACACAATTACTCACAAGAGGCTGAAAAGGCAGCAAGATACCAGTTCAAAAACAGAGTAAACAAAATGCACTATTTGTAATCCAGCTTTAATGTCTAAATTTTCTTGTCTTTCTATTTAGAATATTTTAAATTATTCTAAAGTATAATGGGAACTGGAAACTACAAACATTCTCAATAATGGCTCATGCCACTATTTACCAATTACATTTTGGTTTCTGTGAGTGTGTTTGGCTGTTTATCCTGAGCTCTCCTTTATCTTTACCCCGCTGAACGACAGCCAGACCTTTCACTTTGGCATCTGTTAGAGAGATAAAGATAAGAGTCAAAAAATCTCCCTCCTCTCGCTCTCACACATCAAATTAGGAAAAATAAAAAATAAAAATAGCAGCTCAGGGACACCTCACTGGCTGGACATTCACAAATACACACTCATTACTTTATAACTGCGACCACTAGCTTCCGGTCATGATGAAGATTACATATTGTCATTAGGAATGTTTTTTTACCAATAGCAACCACTAATAGCAAATGTTAAAATGCTTTAAAAAGCCATTTTACACTAATATTTTAAGTTATTTTTTTAAGTAATGTAAACCCCTTACAAAGTATAATTTGCTTCCAGCCTACAGTTCATGAACTGAATATGGAATATTCGCATAATTAATTAAAATTAAGAAGAATTAATCTCTATATCAAACATTGATCAACAGCGTTATCACAGCATTTATTTTCTTGCTATTTATGCCAACTATTATTTTTCTTCCATAATTTCTCTCTCTAAATAAACTGCAGAGTTTATGAATATGCTGATGCATTTAGCCATCCAGAAACACTGTTTCAACTTTGCCCATTAAACACTGTACAATTCTCCAAATGTTACAAAATATGTCAGTATAGCTAGTAGTGTTAAAAGATTACGAATATCCAATTTTGTTTGAATTTGTTTTAAATCAATTTCTGAATACATTTGCTGTTTCCATTTTTAGACTCTGGGACATGACAGCATCTAAAGCAATACTGCAAGTATTATCAATTCAGTGTCTTTTGAGTCACAACCTCACACATTCCACTAAATTGCACGACAACCCTGAGGAACACCGTGACATAAAATCTCACAGATTAAAGCAAATATAAGTGTTTAATCGTCATGAAAGGACAATAAGTCATTCCGTGCGAAAGGGAAAGGGTGAAAATAAATTCATAACCCTAAAATAGACATTGTTCTATATTTTTGGATTCGAGAATCATACATCCTTGAAATTTTATAGGAGATGATAGTGAAACACGTGTGGGGCAAAAATTAAGGACGAGTGATGAGCAAGTTATTTAGGGTGATTCAACTGTCCCTTTGTTCCAACATTGTCTACCACAGGCTGCTTTGGAAACAAAACATTTCCAGCCCTTCACAGTGCCCTTTGTTTTGTGTCACCATTTCTTCAGCATGGCTTGGCATGTATACCAGTCAAACGGGTTAAAAGCCATGCTTTAAATTCCTGTCCTAGTATTCATCCAGAACTTTGATACTTTAAATATTTAAATGAACTTTGACGAGTAAAGGGTTGTCATCACATAGGACAAAACACGTAACTGCATTACTCATTATTACGTGATTTATGGGTTTGGAGGTTTAGAGAAACCTATGTGTGTGTGTGTGTATGTACTGGCAATCTCAACTTCTGCAAAGAATCTTCTAGAAAGCGCTGCCATTTTGTCCGTTACAGTTGATTTTACTTTTAGGACATTACTTTTAGCAAACCTCTGAAAACATTTGTCAGGTTAGCTGAATCTGCTTTATGATCAAAAACTGAATTACATGCCAGTGTAAATTTATGTGTGTATGTGGATTTTTGTCATCCATTATTAAACTCATTTTCACATTTATAATTATCATCACTGAATTAAGATTTGGAACATGATCCTAAACTTGGCATCATAACTTTTGATTCTAGTTTAAACAATCTTTTGTGACATTAAGGGAAGGACTGAAAAAAGAAAAGGACATATTGAGACAAAATAATTTTACAACCCTTTATTCACAGTCATATGCAAGCATAAATTAGTACATTACAACCTGTTGAATGGTTTCACTTAAGTCTTTAGTATTTTCTATTCCTCATTTTTTATATTTGTACATTTAATAGATATTTAGCGAGAACAAGCATCAGATGCTTTATATTGATGTTAACAGATGAATAAGTTAGTAAAGCTTGTCTAGATAAACAACTGATTTTAAAAACAGAATCATTCAATTATTATTTCAATTTTTTTTAACATCAACACTATACTTTCACTTTTCCTTTCTGTTTACTAATGTTCTAAAAATTGAGATTCATAGAGACCAGTTACATAGGAACATGTAAATAAATATATTTATTTTATTTTATATGATTTAAGATATGTGCGTGATATGTGAAAACAGAAATCAATTGATCACCAGCATACTACAGTTAAAAAAGGGCCAAGAGATCCACTTGTATTATTTCAGTAAGGACACAGAACACTTTCTTAAGAAAAATACAACTTCCGTTGCAGAAAAATAATAGAAAAGTTACATTTGCAATTAATACAACTTTTTCACAGAACTGTTTCAGAAAGTGCCTTCGACATTACCATTAGCAAAAAAAAGCAAGACTGCCTTAATAATATTGTATTACAATACCTATATTTCAAATATATGAAAAAATAAACAATATCTTTACCGCAATTTAAGGCTATAAGTTGAACTAAAATGCAAAACTAAGTGAATATTGTTCAGTCGTAAAACACTTTTATAGCATTCTAAAAAAAGAAAAGGAGAATAAACATTCATAAACGTTCACTGTGAAATTGTAATCAGACCAACTGTTATAATAAGCGTTATATTAAACAAAAGGCTGTTATTTTAAGATCAACTGTTATAAAGTTTTATATTAATATCTAACAGTTATCAATTCAGTATCAAATCAGATACAGGCGGGTAATCTCATACTTATCAAATTCTTATAAAATAAACGAGCACCTCTAACAAGAGGTGAATGACATCACTATGGTCAAAACCATAGTTTTCCAATGTTAAGACAGATATTTCATACTACACGCACATGGTGCGGTCCCACAGGTATTTCACTTCACAACATGCGGATCTACTAGAAACAGACATCAAACAAGACATGATCTAATAGAAGTACAAAAGAGGTAAATCATCCAGTAAAAAAAACACCCAAAAAATGGAAACAGAAATGGAAACAAACACAATACTGAATCATCAGAAGCGCAGTGTTAACATCGTTTGGTCTGTTACCATCTTCTGGTTACAGGTCCAGTTTTTGAACCTTACTCTTTCGCAGCACATCTTCTATCACCGGTTGTATAGATAACACTACATGACTAGGTGATAAGAAACACCACAAGGCTGAAGTTAGTATGACGAACTTTCCACCACTCCATTCTTTGACTTGTGAATCAAATTGCAGCTGTGTAAAATATTTTCCCCTGTGACCTTGTTATTCTTCTCTGTCCAGAAGCTCAGGCTGGTGTGTTAAATGTGAGAAGCTTAAACTTGTAAACACTGAGAATCAGCATATGGGGACACTCAATGCACAGGGCCTTTTTTTAAATATGTATGTTGCATTGATTTTGGTCCATGCAGCACGGTTGAATCACTACAGACGCAGAGCATCCTCTTTTAAACACAGTCAAAATTTGCGCCGCTCTTTTCTTGACACCATATGAGCAGTTGTTCCCTCTTCCTACTGTCCGTTGGGAATTTCTGCATGTTTTCTTTAAACCCTGAGCTTCTTTTTCAGCTCAAAGTACGCGTCAAATCTGGCCATGGCGTACTCCTGTAAAGAATGAGAAAATATTATTAGAGAATAAACGAATAGCATTTTTAAATGATATATATTTATAACAGAGCAGTTCTACAAGATATAGGAGCATTATATAGACTATCATTGTCCTTTTTCTTTTGTTTTTTTGTCCATTTTATTTTATTTCTTATTATTTTTCTAATATTAGACATTCATTGTATATTATTCATTGTTTTAAAAATGGTCAAACTTCAATAATAGTTTTTTTTTTAATACACAACATTTTATTTAAAAAAACATTACAGTGGCACACACTCAGTAGGTTTACAGTCATGTTACCCTGACCTCACAAGTATTTGTGTAATGTCCAAAGAGTTGTCAGGCAGCGCAAATATTGCACAGGCCATATCTTTACATATCTGATCTCCGTTGATAAAATCTTGTCTTATCTAAGAGCTGCACTGTGTACAATGGAATAACTCCGTAATAACTCAACATTAGCAATAACTCAACTGCAGACACAAACACTTGATGGCTTTCTTGCAATAACTCACCATGTACCCAAACTCAATAGTTGATATTTTGGCCTGGATCACGGACCACAATCCCCAGAAGAAATGGGAGGCCAGAGCGAACCTAAACGAGAGAGCATTGAGTTCACAAATTACAGATGGAAAGAACGTTTGGGAAGTCTCTGGAAATGTGAATCATTGCTGGACTTGGTCCAAATGTCTTTTTACAATATCCATTATAGTAGTACAGTACGAGACCCAAGAGAGAGGGCCTTATTGCCTGGATTCATTTCCTTCTGCTTTGCTGCACAAGCACTGTCAATTGACCTAAACATGGGTCACTTACGCCCTAGGAGACTACACTGGATGGCAAGATTGGAAAACAAAGAAAGCATGCCTTGACCCTTGTCGTCCACCACTAGAACAGTGACCTTGCCGATACAGAACCCCCACCAGGCTCCTAAAAGAACGTGTTACAGTTTGGAGCTTATTTGCCTGAGGATCCTCTTTGAGACCTGTGTTTGAGCACACGCAAGAATGTGAGTACCCTAGCAACAGTGTGGGATCATTGCCAGAGCCTTCAACGTCTAGAGGTCCCTTCTTAGAAATGGGGCACCCCAAGTGTTCCAAACTGATCAGAAACAACCGAGTTGTCTTGAATAATAGAATCAGAGAGTTCTTTAATTCAGCTCCAAAGATGTGGGAGGTAACAGATCAAAACTTAATTCCCATCAACATCTGGCCGTTACAAAACCAGGCAGTTTTCTTAGAATTTAGCTGCATGTGCTTCTTCTGATAGAGCATGTGAGGAATGGATGTGACTATGAATATTACAGACCTGTAGTTGTAGCTGCTGTACTCAAAGTCGATTAACATGAGCCTCTGTCTGTCTGTGTTCTCACGGCTACTCAGGAGCAAGATGTTTCCTGTTTAAAACATGGCAGCACTTTTAAAACATTTGATTAAACATTAAGTGGACCTTTGTTAGAAACAATAATAAAATACAGACAATCACAGAACTAAACCCATGTCTAACCTTCTTGCAAGTCATTGTGGCAGAAAACAACAGGAGAGGGAGTTGATTCAAGTAGACACCTGTGTACACAAACAGCCATTTAAGTAAGCACACAAAAGACATCAATTATGAGCAGTCGGCAAACACATTCTACATTTGTCAATACATTATCTTGCTATCAGTCACTCTTGAATCTCTTAAAGTGTGAACAGTTTCCAGGGGTTCTGATAAAGCATGTCAACGAAACTATGCTGGAAATGTATGATGAGATGATAATTCCCCTAAAACAGAAGTGAAATCACAGCTGTACTGAATAATCAAGATAATAAAGATCTTACTTGAGACTGTCCATCTCTTGAGGCAAGTTGTAGCTCAAAAGGCGGGAGAAGTTTCGTAGATGGTGCTCCCTGGTGAAGGTGAGCTGAAGCACTTGATCCATGTACCTGTGCAGTAGATGAGAGTACAAAATGATTGCAGTGTTGGCCATCAACAAAAATACTCAATATATTTGCAGGCAAATACAGACAGTTACTCTTCTATTTTCAGAGGCGGACAGTAACTAAGTACATTTACTTGAGTATTGTACTTAAGTACACTTTTTGAGTATCGGTACTTTACTTGAGTATAATTTTTTCTATTTTGAGCAATTACGTAAGCTAGAGTGAAAATTCATATGAGATGATAAATGCTGGTAATCTATATTAAGGTCCCAGTGGAGATAGTACTAAAGGCTATGGGGTTTTCCAGAAAACATGAAACAGAAAACAGTACAGCTTTTTCTTCCAGGGAACTAGGTTTACATATATCATATTTAAAATGTTATAAACTTTTATAAACTGAATTTCATCAGAATAAACTCAATACTGTCAACATACTGACAGTAAGGATTCAGTTCCCCACGATGAACATTTCTGACCATTTAAACAAACTAGACAGCCTTTTTTAACCCTGTTAAAGGTTGTGTTCTAGCCATTTTGACCAAGAGAGGATTTTCTTTTTCCTGAAAATGCTACTTACTGACACCCCCCAGTATTTTTGTGCTTTTTTTAACCACCTTGTTACACTTGTGGTGGTCAAAAATTATCAGTCTACAAACAATTCACTCAAAAACTGAGGTGCATAAGCTCAGATCAATGAGTCCTACAATCAGTAAGCTCCAAAACGAAATACAAACATGTGCTAATTGAAAGAAAAGAAGTTGAATTCACAATTTGGTGATTTTATAACATTATATGCAAGCAATTTGTAAAAGGCTGGAACAGCCAAATTAGTTAAAGGATTTTCAGCACAGGACAAGTGTTAATTTGACAGATATTTTATGATCACGCACTTTTCCATGGTGCCAAACAGCCACTTTGGCTCCTTGTTGAAGGGCATTCTCATTCCATGAAATCTGGTGATCTTTTCAGCAATCTCAGCAAATATACCAGGGACACTCAGCTCATCTGTGGACAATTTTCGACTCTGCAGGCAAACATTGAACTTTCAGTTTGTGATTTTATAACTAAAACAGAAACAATTTCGTAACTAAAATACTAAAAGTTGCACTTGAGTTTTAAGTTTCTGTGTATTAAAAATCACAGAACATCATTGAGCAGCTGAAAAAGTGACATAAGGAAATTTGCCTAGAATGTCATTTGATTTTTCTTCCAATTTGCAAGAAAGGGATTCATAAGCATTAGTGTCAAAACCGTGTTTCACATCCAGAAGGTCCTATCACTCATCATAGCAGCAAAGTTGAAGACTCACAGGGACAAACTGTTCCAGTCTCCCCTGTGGAAAAATGCCATAGAGCTTGGGCCCAAGCTCCCTCTCGGCCAGGATGGCAAACATCACACTCTCCAGTACCATGGCATCAGCTCCCTGCAAACACAAAAACATACGGATACAGTTTGGGCACTCAACAAGTTAAATCAACTGCCAAGATCTATCATCAAACCACACAGACTGCCATGAAAACCTGCTTAGCCTGATTGGACCTTCAATCCCTTAAAGAGAAGTTCAGCCTAAGTTAAAGGGGTCATATGACGTTGCTAAAAAGAACATTATGTTGTGTATTTGGTGTAATGCAATGTATTTCAGTGGTTTAAGGTTCAAAAAACAGATTATGTTCCACATAATGTACATTATTGTTGCTCCTCTATGCCCCGCCTTTCTGAAACACGTCGATTTTTACAAAGCTCATGGACCCTTTTCACATTTCCGGGTTTCTCAGCAGCGGAAGTCGTCATAGTTGGGTTAACTTCGAGAGCAGTGAATGGGAGAGTACCACAAATATATTTTTTGCATTCCCATTTGCTCAGATAGCAAAAGAAAAACTCCACGATAGTGTTTTTGTGACTTTCAATAAAAGGATTAAAATTGAGAGAGACTGATAACGGCAGTCAGAAGAGAGAACGATGTCAAATTTACCATCCCTCCCATAGACGCTGCATTAGAAACACCCTCGCATTAGCGTTAAAGGGGTGCTATTATGCTTTTTCACTTTTTCAACTTTAGACTTTAGTTAGTCTGTAATGTTGCTGTTTGAGCATAAAAAAGATCAGCAAAGTTACAAAGCTCAAAGTCTAATTCAAAAGGAGATATTTTATTCAACATTTTAAAAACTACAACGAACGACTCGTTTGGACTACAATGCATATTTTCCGGGATTTGTGACATCACAAATATCGACGAATGGGACGAGACCTGGTTGAGCTGCACTAGAGAAGGCAACGAGTGTTATCACTATGTCGGAGACACGCTAGCTTTCCCAAGGCAGACGAACTTAGAGTGGTTACAATCATCCAGGTTTAAATTGGGCTCAAATTGATTTGATTTTGACGCAATATTTACACTGAAGCTCACAGGTGGCTGTGGTAAGGTGACATTTCCTGACCAGTGGGGAGCCCCAATCACAACACACACTGGCCCAGTTAACCAATCACAGCACATTTCATATTTCAGAAGGCGGGCCTTCATTTGATACAGGAACTATTCGAGCTGTTCATGCCAGACTGGGGAGGTGTTGTAGTGTGTAGTGTGTAGGTGTTGAGAGGTGTTGTAATAATGTAAAATATGTGAAAAATAATGTGTTTTTCGAAAAACCTAGTATGAGAGCCTGTTCTAGTACACCCCCAAAACAAAATCAAGACTTTGTAAAAGAGCATAATAGGACCCCTTTAACTGTTTTTTTTTTGTAATTTGATGCAAAGGTGATATAATACAAAGAATAATGTTATAAATGTACATAAAAAATAAATAAAATACAAATATGAAAAACTTTCGGGGATTTACGATGCTGATGACCGTTAAACGCACCATCACAGTCTTGTGAAAAGGGTCCATCGGTCTGAAAGGCGAGGTGTACGCTGATTGGCCAGTTATCCAGTGCGTTGTGATTGACTGAATGCCTCAAGCGTGTGACGGAAATGTTACGCCCCTTACCATACTGTGATGCCGTGTCCTGGTGCGATGAGACAACACTAATAAAACCCATTACAAACGAGGCATTTATTGCATCCAGTGAGGACATAATTACTGATTATAATGACTTATACTGTCTTTTTACACGTTGCGTATCGCGCCGCATAAACATAAAACTATGTCTGCATTTGTGATCAGAGAAATGACAAACAACAAGCGTTACTCTACACTGCTCAAAACTCGCGTTTGAATCATCAGTGGCAAATTCTATAAATATAAAAAACTTACTTACAGACTGTGAGTCAGAAGCGCCAGACTGTCCTTGCAAAGTTGGAACTGCCCCATTTTATAGAAACAGTCTTTGTGCACAGAGGCATTGTAGGCTACTCTGCAGGTTCAAGTCATAAAATCATAAAATGCGCTGCACACATCTGAATATTTGGGTTGAACTGTTCTGGAACAGTGTTGTAAATACAACTTAACCACTGATTTCTAGTTGTGTCCTCTTTTGGAAGGCCAAACAAAGTAGTTTCGCTTTCACAATGAAACACACAGCATCACACACGGCGGGCTTGAATGGGCGGAGGCCGGCAGGCTTGAGTGAGGAACGGCCAGCTTGAGAACAGCGTGGCCGGCGGCCTTGCGGCAACCACATATGACGACCCCGGGCTGGACTCTGCTTCGTCCACGGTGAAAGCCGATCCAGCGATCCACAGCGCAAAGTTGATGAATTTCCTCAGCGACCAGCACGGATCAGCTCTAGGCATGACAAAGCGGATATCGTCCTCTTTTGGAAGGCCAAACAAAGTAGTTTTGCTTTCACAACGAAACACTCCACGTCATGGTGGCGGCGGCAACAACAACACTACAGCGAGAATAAAAGTTACGCCTTCTTTCTTTGCGTGAACATTTGAGTGGTGTCATGCAAATCTTCCCACACAGTGACGTAGACATGGGGGGGGGCATGTTTAAACAAGGTGTTTTAGGAGGGGGTGGACAAGTCTTAACTTTTATAAAGAATATCTCTTTGGGTTTGCAACTTTAGCGATATTATCTATGCACGAACAGTTTGTAACACTCCAAAGAGAATGGAAAATTTGAAATGGCATCATATGACCCCTTTAAAGAACTTAATTCAAAACTGTGATGCTATAAAGGACAATAAATTCTGCACTGAAACCAATTCTATCTGAGAGCCAGTCATTTTGTAACAGTGGTGATGGGCAGAAGCAAAATCAATGGCAGTGCTGGAGCAAAGTGAGTTAAATGAGAAAAACAAGTGAGGCAATTGTGCTGAGCGAGGCAGAACTTGCCAAACATCCCAGTCATTAATTGTGGCTGCTTAACTAGCAATGACATTAAGCCTGTTTTTGGACAAGGCTGTGCCAAGTGTTAATACACAGAACCGAAAGAGCTCCCTTCCTGTGTGGGGGAAATAAAAGGTATCTCAATTTTTCAAAACATTCTACAGTTCTGCTTTTACTTGTTCCCTCCAATTAGAGATCATCTAAAAACAGATTGCCAAGAGATTATATATTTACCAGTTATCAGTCATTGAGTGCTGTACTTTGAACTAATGCCTTAGGAATCCAAACCTGGTAGGGCAAATGTTTGAAACTGCAAACATGAATGATTCAAATGTTACAGAATTCCTGTAACATTAACTTGAACCACTGATGTCTCATGACAATGTTACGCAAAAGTTTTGACCACAAACTGGCACACCAATATGGTAACAGAAAGTCAAACAGAAAAATGCCAAAAACTAAAATTATAAACGTATATGACTTTCTTTATTCCCTGGTGAGTATCCTAGCAACTCTTTTCAATGTAATGAAAGAGAATGAAAACTGTGCTGAAAAAAAAGAGTCTGGATCAGTCCATTCATTGAAATGATCAGATTCAAATATTTCAATTTCTTGTCTTAAATCTTTTCAATAAATTAATTGCATCAAATTTTTTTTTAAAAACAGATTTGGAGAAAAATTAGGGTAAACAAATTATGGCTTTAATTTCTTTTAAAGGGGTCATATGATGCTGCTAAAAAGAACATTATTTGGTGTATTTGGTGTAATAAAAAGTGTTTATGCGGTTTAAAGTTAAAAAAACACATTATTTTCCACATACTGTACATTATTGTTTCTCCTCTATGCCCCGCCTTTTTGAAAAACGTCGATTTTTACAAAGCTCATCGGTCTGAAAAGCGAGGTGTGCTCTGATTGGCCAGCTATCCAGTGCATTGTGATTGGCCGAATACCTCAAGCGTGTGACAGAAATGTTACGCCCCTTACCATACTGTTGATGCCGTGTCCGGCCGGAGCGATGAGACAAAAACATTCAAACCCATTATAAACTAGGCATTTGTTGCATCCAGTGGGGACATAATTACTGATTATAATGACTTATACTGTCTTTTTACGCGTTGCGTTGCATATCTTTGCATAAACATAAAACCCTGTCTGCATTTATAATCGGAGAAATGACAAACAACAAGTGCTACTCTACACTGCCCAAAACTCGCGTTTGAATCATCAGTGGCAAATCCTTACAGTCTGTGAAAACGTACTTACAGTCTGTGAGTCAGAACTGCCGGCATTGTAGTCAACTCTCCCAGGATCAGTAAACAGTCCTCCATAAAATGTGCTGCACACATCTGGATATTTGGGTTGAACTGTTCTGGATTTGTAGTCGTGTCCTCTTTTGGAAGACCAAACAAAGTAGTTTCGCTTTCACAACGAAAAACACAGTGGCCTATCGTGAGCAGAAGCCACGGCTTAGCGTGAGCTGAGGCCGGGCTAGAGTGAGCAGAGGCAGGGGGGTCGAGAACGGTGCGCCCGGCGGATTCGACGAAGGAACGCCAACCACATGAAAGCCGATCCGGCGATCCACAGCACTAAGTTGATGTATTCCCTCAGCGACCAGCACAGATCAGCTTTAGGCATGACGAAGCGGATATCGTCCTCTTTTGAAAGACCAAACAAAGTAGTTTCGCTTTCACAACGAAGCACTCAGCGTTTCCACGACATGGCGGCAGCAACAATACTACAGTGAGAATAAAAGTTACGCCTTCTTTCTTTGCGTGAACATTTGGGCGGTGTTATGCAAATCGTCCCACATAGTGAGGTAGATATGTGGGGGCGTGTTAGATCGAGCCGTTTTAGGTAGGCGTGGTTAACTCTTAACTTTTATAAAGAATATCTCTTTGGATTTGAGACTTTAGTCTTTGCAACTTTACAGATCTTCTTTATGCACCAAGAGCTTGTAACACTCCAAAGAGAAAGGAAAAATTGAAATCGCATCATATGACCCTTTTAATTTTGTGTCAACTTTCCCTTTAAGATCACAGTAAATATTGTAATTATGAGTTCCGAGCACAGGAATGACCAATCAATGTCCTATTTACAAGTGGGAAACTAGAAGTTATTTGAAACATGGTGGAAACACTGATCTGTTATATAGATAATGTTTGAATAATCTATGTATAATCTATATATAGGGACCAGTGAGTGGACAGCAAGTCTGTAGCAAATCGTGTAGCACTTAACTTTTCAGTTTACCTCACATCAATTAATACTTTTCATTTTTTAAAATTCAGACATAGTTGTTTGGTTAATTATAACAATTAGAGTTTTTATTTGGTATATTTCTTTTGTTCTGCGTAGACTACTTGCATGTTCCATTTCCAACATGAATGCGTGACGTCCTAATAACAAATGTCTGACTCAGAGGAGCAAGTTTCCCAGGTGCAGTTAAAGGCAGAATTGCATAAGTAGTTCCTGTATTTAGTGTCCTATAAAACAACAGAAAATCTTTTGCTAAGTATTAATAATCAAGATGACCAAACACTTCAATGTGAATAATAAAGACATTAAATCACCACAGGCTCTTGCTTAGAAGAGACCCCAAAAGAAAATCTCTTCAAATACTCATCTCAATTATGACAATTATCATGGCATAGATTCTATACTGTGTGCAGGGACAGCACACATTGAAACTCAGTTTAACCTACCATCTAAGTCAAATAATGCATTGGCCTTGAGTCTTTTATCTCACTACAGCTCAATTTAATAAGGTCAGGTAAAAGCACTGAGCTCATTTCATCTGTGTTTGACATTATGCAAGAATGGCACGCAATTGCGCAACAAACCTGCTGAGGAAATATCAGCTGACCTGCGGTGTTAAAAAAAACCATCCGGTTCTCTCAGAAATTAAACAGGACACTATGGCCTTTCCATTGGAGACTTAGACTTCCTCTAAGGATACACCATCGTTGGCTTGCTTTGGAAGTAGGAATATATTGGCAGAATCAGCAAGTTTTCTAATTCTTCATTTAAAATAGTTCACACATACTATACGACAATAACTCATGCTCTTCATTTAAATTTGTTCTGAAATGTCTGGTCTGCTGCACAGTGAGTCAAATGATTTAACGGACAGCACTCTTCTACGAAAATATGCCTACAGAAACTGGTTTCAGACAAGTTTCCTAGAAACTACAATTTACTGTGACTTAAAACTATTCAACTTTTCCACTGTTCTGCAGAACATAGTTCCAACAAACATACCTGATTAATGAAGGTCTTTAGGATTACATGACAATTACAAGCAGGTTTGTCTGATTACACCTGTGGTAGTGTCTAATGACTTATAAACAAAGGTGCCCAATCCTATTCCTGGAGCTCTACCTTCCTGCAAAGTAGAGCTCCAAGTCACACGCACCTGAACCAACAATAATTAAAATCTTCAGGAACACTTGATAATTACAGAAAGGTGTGTTTGATCAGGCTTGGCACTGAACTCTGCAGGAATGTAGATCTTCAGAAACAGGAATGGGCACCTATGACCCAGAACAGGGGTAGGCAAGTTCGGTCCTAGAGAGCCGCAGTCCTGTAGAGTTCAGCTCCAACCCTGAAAACAAAACTCACCTGCCTATAACCTTAGTAATCCTGAAGACATCGATTAGCTTGTTCAGGTGTGTTTGATTAGGGTTGGAGCTGAACTCTGCAGGACTGCGGCTCTCTAGGACCGAACTTGCCTGCCCCTGACCTAGAACAAATTCAAAAGAGCTTCAAACATAACCAACTATTTAAATAACTACAAGGCTTATTTCTTGGAAATAGGGTAAATTTTATTTATTTGAATTTATTACATTTCCAATCATTCCATTAGATGCCACTTTTATTCTTTTCACCACACACCTATACAGTGTGCATAGGATACATCAGTGCTGCTGCCTTCAAAAAAATGATTGATTTCCTACCTCCTGCAAAGCCAGCATTTTTCAGGTTTCAAACAGTCTCTCTCTCTCCCTCCCTACCCTGTTATCTGACTAAGCAATGGCCATGTGACTGCTGAGCAGCAGCTGCTTGGGTTTTTCCAGTGCCAGTTAATACACAAGGCATAATCACAGGATTACTGAAGCAGATCAGTTCACAGCAGCACAAGGGCAGTATCTACATGCAGGTGTTATCAATGTCCAGCGAGGAGGGGAAGTCCATCTCAACAGTACCACCACTGGCCCTGTGTGTTAGTCTGTGGAATAAATGCACACAAAACTACACATGCAAAACAGATAGAAGCAAAGTTTGAAGAGGCCAGACAGCTGATGCTGAACTGAGACAGTGAGGTTAATGCTGGGATAAGCTTCTAATAGGATGCACTGCTATGACTCTCAGGGAAATAATGCCAATCAGAAAAATGTAAAGTGTGTCAGGGAATGCGTCTTATCAGTTCTGGGTGCTCTTGCTTTGCAGCTATGAATATGAACCTTTTACACAATCATTTTCATATAAATAATTAGTAATATATTAATTATATAATGAATAGTTTTTGTCTCGTTTTGAGTAAAAATATTTAAATATTGTTAAACCAAGACAATATTACTGGAGAAGCTAAATTGTATAATATTGGTTTCAAAAGAATTGGTTTCAGAGAATAATAATATCTTTTAAATATAATTTTGTATATACTTTATAACTTTTAAAACGTTAAAATTAATTTGCATGTCTTTTTTTAAAGATCTTTATACGATATTTATATTTGGTTTATTTTTCTTACCCCATTAGAATTTTTTTTTTAAGTTTTAAGCATTAATCTAAAAAAATGGTGAAGTCGAGTTAAGAAAAATAAACTCAGTTGAAGATGCATTTACTGAACAAAAGTCTTATTATCTTATACAATTATGCATATAAGAATTATTTTATATATTTACTAAAAACAAGACAAAAATACTGAACAAAATTATTTTGTGATGCATTAATAAGAGGGGTTCTAAGTGACCAAATTTCCCCAAAACACTACTAAAATACGAGAATGTAACAATAATAAACCCCAGAGCTCATGGAAAATTTTGACCTAAAAGTTTGAAATCACAACTGAGACAGGTCCAAACAAAACATATCTGATGACCCAAATAGCATGTCCCTTGGCCTCGGTGGATGATGGGATATGAGGTACAAATACAGTAACAGCAGTTTAACTAGCTATAATGCTTTTAGGAATTTGTCCTCTTGATGGCCTTATATTTGCTATAAAACATGTCAGATGAGGTGGAATAAAGACAAAAACCTTTTATAGAGACACAAGCCTATAAAGTCACGTTCTGCTCACATAAAAACAATAGAAAAACAGACCTTTGCTAATGTTACTTACTTGAAAGTGATTTTCTGTGTTTGATTGTCTGGAATCCCCTTTATTACAGGACATCTAGCAATAAGAGAAAAAGCAAAAGACTATCCATAAGAACAAAGTTGTTGTCTATGTGACATTTGACCCTTTTCATAATGTAGCAACATTACGTGACAGAGCTATTTTCCAGAACCCACTATAAACCATTGAGACTGTGTCTTTGGCAGCACAGTAAGAAAGTGCATTAAACAAATTAACTAACTTTGTGATAAAAAAATCTTGAAACCTAAAAATTGATTGGTGATTTAAAAAAAATTCCCATTGTTTTTGCCTTTTCATGTCTATTCTTGTCATTTTATTTTTTTAGAAAAACTGAATCCTGGTGTCCTCTACAGAGGACATAGCATAACACATAAATAAAATATAATTTTTCAAAAATGTTATTTTACCATTTTTTTCTCATGCTCTAAACAATGTAATGGCATGAAAAAATACTAAATTCACAAAGCTTTTTATTTCTGGTTCTCAGGAGGATATTAATAGCTATTAATATTAATTAGTAATGTGTCCGCTCAGAATCTTCAGACTTCGGTCTTCAGTTTTATCAATATTCTGAATAGGACTGTTTCTAGTAGCAGTCACACTGAACTCTCAGATTGGTTGTGAAGTACAGTAGTCAACATTTGAAGTGGATTACAATTTTTCTATTACTTATTTCCTATTACTTGTTTCGCTTCTGTTTCAGTTTTTTATAACCATTTCTTACTATGTGTAAGTAAGTTGTTGTTTTTTAGCATGTGTGTTTGCCAGTGTTATTTTTTAGGATTACTGATAAACTACTGTCATTTGATTTGTATTATTTGTTATTTATTTTAATTTTAGTTACATTATGTCTGAATTTATTATGTAGAGTTTTATTTAATTTGAGTTATTTTAATACTTCAACAAACTAAATGGAAATGAAATAATATATATATATTGCATTTATAAATGTGTATGTACATATACAGTATATATGTATGTGTGTTTATGGTTGTACAAACTGTTTTTTTTTTTTTTGGTGTTTGGCTTAGTGTTATGTTAGAATCATTATTATACTCTTATACCTTTTGTTCTTTAATATTTTGAATTGTTTTTAGCTTTATTTTTTTGTTTTTCATTTAAATGTTAAGTTTTGACATTTTGTTGTATGCATTTGTCATTTTTATTTAATCTCTTTATTTTTAAAATGTGTATAGGTAGTATTTATAAAGTTTTAGCTTTTAGATTTGGATTTGTTTTAATACTACAATTGATTGCTTCTGTTGTCCTCATTTGTAAGTCGCTTTGGATAAAAGCGTCTAATAAATGACTAAATAAATAAATAATTAAAAATTAAGGCGAGACACTGCAGGTGAATAGGGTAAAAAAAATAACTAATAGTTATCGCCTTACTTACCCAGCTGATTAATTACACTGATAATTGCAAAAAAATTTTGTATTACAAGTTTTCTAAAATGTTAGGTTTAGATATGCAAATGAGTCATTATTTAATGAAATATGCGCTAATTTGCATACATTTCTAGTACAAAAATCTAAACACTGGATGATGTCAGTTTCAAAATTTTTGTTGAATTTTTTTGACCTATTAGAGTCAAAAGTTTTTACAGAGGGAATTTTGGGTATCTAATTTTTGTCACTCCATAATTCAGAAACTGCTTAGAACGGACAGAAAACACTATATTTTCACCATTTTTAGGGGATTAAAATGTTATATATAATCAAGCAAATTATATATGAACAAATCCCTCTGTAAAAACCTTCAGAATATAGACAGGAATAAAAATGTAAAGTTTGGTGTGTGTAAGTGCTACTCAAGTGGAGATTTATGGCTCAGGAGAAAAAACTCATTTTGAGAAAACGACCTTTAAAAATATGCATTGTAATTTAAATCTATTGACACAAATAGATAAAAGTGCTATAAAATAAACACTTAACAGTGTATTTGGGATGTTTTCTTTCCACTAGTCTGAAAAAATACTTTATGAAAAACCAAAAAGCCCAAAATCTCAAACTTGACAGGTGCATGAAAAAACAATGTTTTTGCCTGCAGTGTCTCCCCTTAAAAAAAATCCAAAAAACAATGTTTAATTTTTATTGAAATACATATGATATATATATATATATATATATAACATTGCAAGGGGACGATGAAAAATGACAAATAAATAAATTATTTTTACACATCAGGGACACAAATTGCACCTGTTTCGTGTGATAGACCATGTGAATTATCTATCTAGCCATCCATCTATCTATCTATCTATTTTATTTGTTTTTCTTTGTACAAGTAGTTGTCGAATCTGTGTATGTGGACTTCTTTTGGAGTAGATTGTTCTGTTGTGGTATGAAAGTGAGTTTTGTATTTTTGAATGTGTCTTGAAGTTTGTACCAGTTAGCCATGTTGTCATTTAGGAGTAGAAACATTTTTTTTTTT